GCTCGCCTCGCCGCGGTAATTAACGACGAGGTTTGGTCGCTCGGCGTTTACTTGAGGAAAGCAGTGGGTCCTGCCCGCGCTTAGGGAGGATTAATTTGCCGAGGGAAACACGACTGGCTGTGAGCCAACGATCGGCAACAAGCAAAACAAAGCACCCTCATTCAATTAAGGCCGTGCGACGGTTTGTCAACATTATCAACTTTCAAAGCACGCCCAAAAAGTGCCTCTCGCGGTCGCTGTTTTGCATCAAAGGGCCGCCCGTAATATCGTTTCTCTGCAGCCCTCTTTAGAGCGCGCTATCACGAGAGAATTTTGGCACTTTGGAAATAACAGCAAACAGGAACAATCAAGCGGAGATTGGCAGTTGCCGACGGAGAACGTTTGAGAAGAGCGCCATGCCTTAGGACCTTTTTGCGCGCCCCTCGCTAATCGGCATGACTCCGCTTGGCTTCGCGAAGGCTGCGCGCATCACGACAGGCAACGGGCTCGCTCAGCACTCTCGCGGCGGCGGCGGAGAAGTAAAGACACGCAACGCTTTTGATTGTTCCCACAGAAGCAAAATAAACAACCCGGCGGCGGCGAGGGCGGCGGGAGACGCGGGTGGGTCTCGCCCGCTCATTGTTCAGGACCTGCTGTTCGGTCTTCCCGTGGGAATGTCTGCTACCTCGTTTGAGAATATTTTTTTTCCTTCTCATTTCAACGTTCGAATTGTTTTTTTATCTTTTCTTTTTAAAGGGGATCACGCCACACATTGAGATGCAGTAGCGGCTGCGGCGGCCGCGGTAAGCGGCAGCGGCAGCAGCAGCAGCAACAAAAAGATCTCGAAGTGAAAAAGAGAATCGCGGGCTTGGTTACAAAGGAGACACTACACCGGGGCTGAACAAGGGGGGCGGCTGTTAAGTTGTTGCCGAGCCGCGGAGTTGAGGCGAGCCGAGACATTGCCAGGCAGAGTATCATTTGTGCGCTCGGAGGGACACGGCTCAAGAGGAGCACTCCAGCGAGAGCCTCATGCGAGGTAATGAAGCCGCTTTTTTTCCCTCAAAGATTTATTCGTTCTAGAAGGCGCTGTGCGCCCAGTGGTTGTCTTGGGTTCAGTGAGATCACCGGATTTACATGTTCTTTGTTCTCTCTGTGTTATTATGTTTTTGAATTAATAACCGAGGTGCACTTAAAATATATATCGTTTTTAAGTGGTTTATTTATTTTACATGGCTTCTCGCGTGCTTTAGCCGAGTGCCGCTCGCTGGAATGTGACAGCTTTTAGACACAGGCGATTTCGCTGCGTAGATGTTTCGTGTTGAGGAATAATGCAGCTGTTGGTGCTGCCTTGATGCTCAAAGCCGCGATGCTAATTGTTTGCCGTAGCTTTAGGTTCTGATATAAGTTGAATTCCCGATTACCTTTCATGAATGTCGGAGCATAGCGCACGTTATTAGGACCTGTCGCTTGAAGGCGTGATGGCCATGAGGTCGAGACGAAGCACAGAGTGGCAGCCAAAGCGGGGAACAAGTTCAGAATCACCACCGCGGAGATGGAGCGATGAAATCAGCCGGTGCGGAGGAGCGAGCCGGACTGTTGCGTCGCAGGCATTGCGAGGGACAGCGACGGCTTGGCCAGGGACTTCATCCAGATGTTGGGAGAGCGAATTTCTGAAAGTTGAGTAAAGAACCCAGAGACTGGCGCGGGCAGGCAGCGCCAACTGTGACGCGTCCGTGTTTGCGCTGTGACGTCAGCGTGTCACGCTGGGGCGCTTCATGTCACCGTGGGGCAGCTGCGTGGAGACTAGATTTGAAGCTTTCGTGACTGCAATGATTCATATTCTTAGGTTGTTTCGGTAAAGTCACGTAGGTAAAAACATTAAAAAGTAAAATAAAATAAAAATAAAAATCACGACGTTTCGGAGGCAACACAAGCTTCCGTCTTCAGGTGGTACCGTTACCTACGTGACTTTACCGAAAAAACCTAAGAATATGCGTAGAGACTCGCAAGCACGCGTGCGACGGGCTTGGTGCGTAATTAATTTAAGCGGCGATTATCGCGTTCCTCTCGGTTTTTTCTTTTTACAAAGGGAGAAGCTGGTCACTCTGGGAGGGCAACTTCACATTGTGGAAGGCGCGAGTAGATAGGCCCGTTGTAAATAACTCTCAACTAAAATCACTCGCAGTCAAAACGGATCACGGCGGTTTCCTGGTCAGTCGCAGTTAGGGCGGTGCTAATCTGCCGCTTACAGCCCAGAGCCAGTGGTGGAAATTCCACATTCCCATAACAGATACGAGTCTTTTTTGGTAAAATGACGTAGGTAAATTTTTTTATTAAATTAAATCACGACGTTTCGGGCGCAACAAAAGCGTCCTTCCTCAGGTGGGGACAACTTAGCGAAAGCACACCGCTTAAGTGTGTAGTGAAAGCACAACGCTTAAATGTGTCAGACACACTTAAGCGGTGTGCTTTCGCTAAGTTGTCCCCACCTGAGGAAAGACGCTTGTGTTGTGCCGAAACGTCGTGATTTAATTTATTTAAATTTTTTACCTACATGACTTTACCGAAAAAAACCAAAGAGTATGAATTCTTGCATTCACGAAAACTTTAAATCTAGAATTAGATGCGAGTCTGTTCTCGGAGTGAACATTAGTCCAGTACTGTTAACTTTTATGTCGTTAATTGGAGCCTTGACGTGAGCCGCAGTGGCCTGCACTTGATACCGATGCCATGTGACGTTTGGGCAATGTCCACTTTCTAGCAGCTTGTGGTGGTGATGACTTTGATTTGTGAAAGTTTAGCCCGTAACATTTTTGGCATTAAATTAAATGGAGCTCCGGTGCTGCTGCAGAGCAAGGTTGAGAGGCGTCGAGTGGTGGCCGTTTTGACGGCAGTGCGCATTCGATTTCTTCGAACGAAAATTAAAAACTCTTCATTTCAGCCCTAATTCAGGCTCTACTTAAATTACTCTTGTCGTGGCATCAATTCGGGTTGTTTAAAACCCGCAGAGGAAAATAGCAAGTCGGTAACACGTCCAATTTTGTTTCATCATAGTCATACTCATCAATGGCTCGCAACTTGTGCTGATGAAGACATTCTGTTGTGGGGAGAAATTTACCCCCCCCCCCCCCCCCGTTGTGAAATTTTATAAATCGCCGCCGATCTTAAACCTTTTCAATCAGTCGAGCCTTACACAGAGAGAGAGTGTTTGCATCTCGATGGCTTTCGCTTGATGAAACACGGGATTTGATTTCAATTCAATTGCGCAATTTCCAGCCAGAGCCCCAGGTGCTCAGTGTTGACTTTGGCCACACCTCGCTCATCCCCGAGATATGAACGCCGCCTCCGGCTGTAATACGCCATTGTTTACTCGAATAAGAGGCGATCCGCCGCGTGATGCCAGTGTTATGTAACACGTCTGTTGCGGCAGGCTGCTGTCATCGCGCTCGTCCAGTGTTGGCGTGCGTTCGACGACGACGACGCTCACCGGTTGAGCCGGTAAAAGAGAAATTAAAGCCGCAGGGTCAGGCAGGCAAGGACGGCCAGAGACGAGGCTCCGTACTGATTGCGCCGCGGCCGTCCTGCGAGATGATAACAACCTCGCCTGGTATGCAGGAGGTCTTGCGTTCAATTCTCCCTGTGGTTGCGTGAATTTTTCTCCGGGTCCTCCGGTTTTCCCCTCCACATTTAGAAACATGCGTTTCGAGTTTTTGACTGCTATAAATTTTCACGTGATAAGCCACTTCGTTGAGCTCTCGTTTGTGGCCAGGTCGCTTATGAAAAAGAGCCACATAGCACAGTGGGGCCTTACCTGCTAAAATAATAAAATAAAACATAGACCTGCAGCCGCTTCCCATCAATCCTTTGCTGGCTGCTGGACTCCCCCGTGGATCGTAAGGCGGGGGGGGGGGGGAGTCGAGTGAGGCGGGTGGTGGTTTGCCCATGCCTCACCATGCCGACTCGATGTGGGTTAGCGAGGGCGAAGCGGTCTAGCGAGGGACGAGGAGCGTAGATGTGGGAACATAGAAGCACGGTGCAACAATGGATTTTGCCGCACTGCTAAATTACGTTTCATGGGGTTTTTTCCCCCGTGTTCTTGTTTCCTCCCACGTGTAAACGCTCATTAATTAGTTGATAACGCCTCAATATATAGGGCCAATGTAAAGGAAGTGCCTTTATATTGGCCCTGGTGGCCTCAGCTGATGGAAAGCAAAGCATCCCCTGTGTCCGTGGCGTTACCCCGAGTCCCAGTTCACTCTGCGCTGCCCTCTGTTGAGAGCCCAGGAAATTTGTTGAAGAGCACTTGGGATTATTTGAGTCCCCTCCACATTATTAATGGTTCTTTCCACATGGTGCATCAAGCGTTGCGTGTGACTCGTACTAGCACAGTGCTTCAATCGTAAGAAAATACTTGAGCCTCCTTTATCCTTTCGATGGGTTTTGTACGGCGTCTTGAGATGAAATTGCATTTGGACGTTAAATGTGTGTCATATCACGTGTGCTGCACTTATTCTACTACTTACATAACTCGTGCGTTTTCTCTCCGGTTTCCTCCCACATGTTTGAACGGTCACGAATGGAGTTGGTCAAAGATCTTTATATAGGATTACAGAACTTGGGCAATTAATGTTGCTGGTTCTCGCTGCCTTTCCGTTTGTCTGTCCTTTCCCCAGCCCCTCCACGCATAAACTGGGCACTTTACACATTCTACAGTGCGTTGAGAGACAGATTGCATGAATTACACCACTATTTGAAAAGACAAAATTGTTGTTACTCATTTAGTTATTACTCGATTAACTTGAACTGGTTGACACCGCTATTTAAAAAGAAAACGATTGTTGTTACTCATTTAATTATATGATTACTCAAATAACTTGAAACGGTTAAAATAAAACCGTACAACATGCTTGCTTTGAAACATTCCGTGGCATGGGGAGGCCTTCATCCAGCAGTGGAGCGTACACGTGCACACATCTCACATGCCCTTTCCCCTCCCTGTGGCCATTTATTCGTCGGCGCAGAAGCAGCGCAAGCGGAAATCAGACGGCGACGGGAGCCCCCCCTTGCTCTCCCGCCAGCCTCTGCTGCCCTCGCCCGTACTTCTGCCCTCTCCGCCGCTGCCCCCGACGCCTCCCCCGGCCCCTCCCCCTCTGCCGCCGCTGCCGCCGCCGCCGCCCGAGCGCAAGGAGCCGCCGGCGCTGGAGGCCCCGAAGCGCTCCGAGGCGGCGGAGCCCGAGAAGGAGGCGGCGCAGAGCGGGGCCGCTCCGGCGCCCGGGGCGGGAGACTCGAGCGGTTCCGGTCAGCACGGCGAGGGCGGCGACGTGGGGCCGGGCGAGCAGGCCGGCGCCGCGGCGGCCACCACCTCGGAGCTGCAGCAGGAATACCAGGTGAGGCGTCGGCCGTGCCAGCGCCGGGCCAAATTGAACCTTGCACGATGGCAGGTGAGAATTTACCCGTGCTGGTGCCGGGCGAGATAAATCACCTGCGGGACGTCGTCATCCATGTGAACGCCGGGTGAGAAGTCGCGTGCGTAGCCACGGGTGAACATTGATCATCGCCGGCCCGCGTGGCGAGGACTTAGGCGAGATCTTCTGTGCAGAGGCACGGGTGATAAATTTCCCCTACGAATGCTAAGTCAAAACTTCCGTACACGAGCACAGGTCAGCACAGGTGAGGACAAGTGAGCACGTGTCAGAACTGTTTTTTTTGTGTCTAGTTTGTTGTCCTTCCCCCGCATCTCTGATTAGCATATTTGGAGACATATGGTGCAAACGAAGTTCAACATACATACTTAGATAACAGGTACGGCATTTGAGCAAATTCCATTGGCAGTGGCAGCTTTAGGTAAGTGGATACGGAACTGGGCCTTTAATTATTCCAGGAACGTTAATGATAAAACAAAAACTAAACTAAAGCTTTAAACTATTTGTATTTAACCAGGTAAGGCCTACTGAGCTATATAGCTCTTTTTCAGAAGCCACAAATGATAGTTCAACAAAGCGGATTATCACGTGAACATTTATAGCAGCCAATTACTCTAAACGCGTGTTTCTAAACATGTTTCTAAATATGCGTTTAAGTCGTCGTCACAAGAGTAAATTATTGAGCCGGAGGCTAAGTTATTAATTTGAGAGATTTTCAGGCCACATTCCTCCACGCTTACCGGTCACATGCTTCACTCGGCGGCATCAGAACGTCACGAGCGCGGCATTCTGCCTGAAAGCCTCACTTGTTGGAGGCTTTCAATGAACGGCAGAAAAATGCTCACGTCCATACAGCGGGCTTGTCGCGACTTGTTGGTTGAACCGGTTACAAAAAAAAATCTATATAATTATCAGGTCAACCGAAAGTCACTATTAATGTGCCATTAAGCGGCACCCACTCGAAACAATCCTCGCCGTTGTTAAAATGGTGGGACGCGCGGCCGGATTTCTGACCCCGTGTTTGTCTTGCCGAGTAAATCCCGTGGTGAAACATTCGCTGGCCATCTCGCTTGCGGTGCCACATCCAATCACGACTCGCGAGCCACATCTGGGCAGCGCTCTTGATGGCATCCACCTGAGTTGGTGTTCAGGGGCTCTCTGCCAGTAGAATGCCTTCGCCTGGCGTACTTTACCAACGGGAAAATCAACATACCACCGGTGCTTCTGGCAGACAGCTATGAAATTCGTTTTCCTCTTTATTTTTCCTTCCCGACGTCCTTGCCGTCCGGTTTTGTCCATATATATATTTTTGTTGTGCTGAAAATGCAATAATTTTGAATGCTCGCGCATTGAATGGGGAAGCCAAAAAATGTGGCATGGAATGGGTCCTTCCCCAGAGCCGAGCGCGGCTCCATGACCTCGCTAAATGGCCGCCCGTTTGAGGGAGCGTCGTGGCACAGACTCTGACCCCACTCAGCTCCGGGGTCTGCAGTACTTCGGATTTCCCTCTCCAAGTCATTCAATCTCCCCTCTTGCAAATTAATGAAATGGATGTCAAGTTGGGTTTCCATTTATATGTTGATTACAGCGATATGGCATTACCCGCACATTACGCACGACGCGGTGAGCCTCTGGGCGGTGGACCCCGGGGGAGTCGGGGAGCTGGAGACGTGCGGGGTGCAGAGTTTACCCAACTAAAAGTCAATGGAACCTCCAGTGTCGTATAACGATAATGTATACACTGGTTCATTATGCCTGATGTAAAGAAATTGTCATTCACCACTCCTAACGATGCTGTAATCGCGTAACGAGCCTCGCTCCTGCCGTCTCCGCTCCTGGACAGGCGTCTTTCGTTCAGCGCTGTTACGAATAACACGAAGCCATCCCATTTAAAGAATGCACTGGGTTTATTTTTCTCAGCGAGACGTTATTCCACTGCCGTTGACGGTGGGCAGACGGCCGCCGTGTTCGCGTGCGGCGGTGGGAAGTCGGCGCCGTTGCCCGGTCCCCACTTCCCCCGAGCCTCCAATACGCCCCTGGTGTTCCGAACGCTCTCTAATCCAATTGGCCAAACATCGCGGTGAAGGAAACCTCCTGAAATGCCCTTCATAGAGTCTCAACACTCTCAATACCCATCGAGGACATGAGTTTTATTATTATTCGAGGAGTGATGCCACTGTGGTTAGCACAGTGTGCTATGAATCTGGCATCCTGATCTGTCAATTCCCCGCCTACAGCTTACATCCCCAATTAGCACGGTTGGCTACGTACAGTGTAAAGGAAGTTCAGCATACAAACATCAGTCTACCAAAGTGATATCTGAACGGGTCCTGGGCACCACTCCTCACCAGCCAGAACTCACCAGTGTGGTCAAACAGCCCCTATGACTGGCACAGAGTGGGGAGTCCTTCATCCAGCAGTGGATTAACAATGGGATATAAATCGTATTTATTGTTATATTTGCTCTTATTATTTCAGCTGAACAGTGTCCGTGGAGTGTGTGTGCATAAGACTAAGATCCAGGCCGCATGAACTGGTTAAAAATATTGCTCGTCACGCTTGCCTTGCAACGCAAACCAGGAAATCGGTCTCTAATTTTCTGGCCTTGCAGCTCGTTTCACGCTCGTTCATTAAGACGTGTTTATGTATTGATAAAGTACAAAGACAAAGGTCCCCGTATAGCCTTTTACAGACTGTTGGGGAAAGTGCCGTTCGTGAGCACCTATGAAGCTGGCATGGCACACGAGGGGGCAGTGGCCACCACTATGCCCGGCCGCCTTTGTCTCCCCAGTGGCGATGTTTACACGTTGCCCTATGTACTCATATAAGACTGAGTCAACCTGGAGGAGGTTCAGGACCAGTTCAGATAATTGTTAATGGCGTTGGCCGTGAATGGGAATTGAATTCTGATTACCGGGTTTGTAGCGCAGCGTGTTAACTGCTGCACCGCTGCTCCCCATGATATAGTACTAACACACACACGCGGAGAGGAAGCGATGGTGTGTGCCTAGCGCATTGCATTACAAACCCAGTGACCCGAGTTCAATTCCCGGCCGCGGCTAACATCAGTGGTGAGCGATATCTGAGCCGGTCCTTGACGATCATGCCTTCTCCAACACACACGACTGACCAGTGTGGTGAAGTATGGTCAATCAACTCCCGTGACTGACACGGCGTAAGGCGGTCTTTATCCAGCAGTGGATTAACACTGTACACAAATATAGAGCAGTACATTACGTTGCTAAAGCACATTTAATTTTATTATAATGGTACGAGTATATGTGTTAATAATAATTGAGACTTTTTTTGCTGTTAAATTTGAGCAATTTTAACCAGCTCTCCTGTCTAAATGGAATTTTTGGTTTTTCAAAGTGGGGGGCTAAAGTCTTTAGTCTTCCCTCCCCAATCGCAACATTCACCCACTGCTGGTAGACCCATGCCCACTCGCAGCCTGGTGCTGTATTCACCTAGCGCCGCACAGGGCCAAGCTGCCATCAGGGGGTCCCCTAGGCCAAAACCTGCATTGTTATCATATTATACACGTCTGCCAAGCAGGGACAGAGGGATGGGGGGAGGCGGGGCGGTGGGGGGAGCGCAATTTCTGCCGTGCCCTCCCCCTCCACGCGTTTCCCGACCGCTGCTCACGGGAGGCTGTTCCGGCAGGATGGCTACGGGTTCCGGATCGGCGAGCTCGTGTGGGGGAAGATCCGAGGCTTCTCGTGGTGGCCGGGCCGCGTCGTGTCCTGGGAGGAGGCCGAGCAGTACTACTGGTACTTCACGGAGGGCACGCGCTGGGTCAAGTGGTACGGCGACGGCAAGTTCTCACTGGTGAGGGGAGCGCCTGCCGTGGCGGCGGCAGTGCCCGCCGAGTTGGTGGGCTCAATACTACGATAAGTCGGCATAGAGGGGGCCGCGTCGCTCGAAAGTCGAAGCGCTGAGCTGGCACATCCGGGATCCTCGGGTCAAATCCAGCCTGCCGCCTGTGGTTGATCAAAACGGCTTCACGAGGGTTGGTGGTCTCAGCCCGACCACCGCGAATGTCCGACGCGAAGAACTCGGAGGTCAGAGCGCTGAGCTTGGCACCACGGAGATCCTTGCTTCGAATCCAGGCAGCCACCAGTCATGAAACGACATTCTGAATTGTAGCGAGTTGACTGACTCGGTCAGTAAAAAACCCATCCCATAAAATGTTGTGTCTGCACTCAATGTGGCTAATTTTCAGCTATGAGAATTCAACTATCAAATAAACAGATTCACTATTGTGCAACGAGCATTACTGTCTGAGGCAGAGCGGGTGGCAAAGTGCTGATGATGACTGATGATCACCATTACTGTTGCTTGTGGTGATGTCTGCTTTGAAACAATTGAATAATTAACTGGGGCGTGCCCACCCTCCCTTCGTTTGCCCACAGGTGCCTGTGGAAAAGCTTTCCCTCTTCAGTAAGTTTGAAGAGAACTTCCACCAGCCAACGTACGCCAAGCAGCTCATCTACCGCAAGGCCATCTACGAGGCGCTGCAGGTGAGCGAACGCTCGTCACGCGCGCGGGAGTCACGCGTCGCGACGACAGCATGCAGTGAATTCGATGCATTTAATGCGCGGGGGGGAGGGCAGAAAACGCGCACGCACGTCGTGTACGGTGCGTACGCGCAACGCGCCGCGGGCCGCCCGCCCACCCCCGCCTTGACCACCCACCCCCGCCTTGACCACCCACCCCCGCCTTGACCACCCACCCCCGCCTTGACCGCCCCCGCCTTGACCGCCCCCGCCTTGACCGTCCCCGCCTTGACCGCCCCCCCCTTGACCATCCACCCCCGCCTTGACCGCCCCTGCCTTGACCGCCCCCGCCTTGACCGCCCACCCCCGCCTTGACCACCCACCCCCGCCTTGACCACCCACCCCCGCCTTGACCGCCCCCGCCTTGACCGCCCCTGCCTTGACCGCCCACCCCCGCCTTGACCACCCACCCCCGCCTTGACCGCCCCCGCTTTGACCGCCCCCGCCTTGACCACCCACCCCCGCCTTGACCGCCCCCGCCTTGACCGCCCCCGCCTTGACCGCCCTCGCCTTGACCGCTCCCGCCTTGACCACCCCCCCCCGCCTTGACTGCCCTCGCCTTGACCGCCCCTGCCTTGACCACCCACCCCCGCCTTGACCGCCCCTGCCTTGACCGCTCCCGCCTTGACCACCCACCCCCACCTTGACCGCCCCCGCCTTGACCACCCACCCCCACCTTGACCGCCCCCGCCTTGACCGCCCCCGCCTTGACCGCTCCCGCCTTGACCACCCACCCCCGCCTTGACCGCCCCCGCCTTGACCGCCCCCGCCTTGACCGCCCCCGCCTTGACCGCTCCCGCATTGACCACCCACCCCCGCCTTGACCACCCACCCCCGCCTTGACCGCCCCCGCCTTGACCGCCCCCGCCTTGACCGCCCCCGCCTTGACCGCCCCCGCCTTGACCGCCCCCACCTTGACCGCTCCCGCCTTGACCGCCCCCGCCTTGACCGCCCCCACCTTGACCACCCACCCCCGCCTTGACCACCCACCCCTGCCTTGACCGCCCCCGCCTTGACCGCCCCCGCCTTGACCGCCCCCGCTTTGACCGCCCCCACCTTGACCGCTCCCGCCTTGACCGCCCCCGCCTTGACCGCCCCCGCCTTGACCGCCCCCACCTTGACCGCTCCCGCCTTGACCGCCCCCGCCTTGACCGCCCCCACCTTGACCACCCACCCCCGCCTTGACCACCCACCCCCGCCTTGACCACCCACCCCCGCCTTGACCACCCACCCCCGCCTTGACCGCCCCTGCCTTGACCGCCTCCGCCTTGACCGCCCCCGCCTTGACCGCCCCCACCTTGACCGCTCCCGCCTTGACCGCCCCCGCCTTGACCGCCCCCGCCCGCTCTCCCGCAGGTCGCGAGCCGCCGGGCCGGCAAGCAGCTCCCGCAGCTGCCGGAGGGCGACATGGACCACAACGAGGGCGACTTTGCGGCCCTGCTGGAGGAGCGCCTCAAGCCACTGATGGAGTGGGCGCTGGGCGGCTTCCCCCCCAAGGGGGCCAAGGGCCTGGAGCCGCCCTCGGGGGAGCCGTCGCCAACGCCATGCGTCGGTGAGCCTGCGCACCGGGCTGCGCCATCGAAGTCGGAAAACATTAGTCCTCGTACACGTACGCGATCCGTATTTATGTGCATGTACGCGTTTGTACATGTACACGATTTGACGTCCATAACCAGGGAGCTTAAAAATTGCTGTTTGTATTTTCCTGGGCATATTATTCATATGTATGTATAAGTGATGGGTAAATACATTCACATTTAGAAAAAATATATATTGAAATAGCCACGTCAGCTTCAAGCGTGTTCACGCGTTAATCTTGCCTCTATTTTTATTTCCGTCTCTCGCGGCGCCGTGAATGATTTATGGGGCACGGTGCCGCGCGGAGGTCAGAGCAGAGGCCTGGAAGGGGGGCGGGGTAGAGGGGGGTCGGTGGGGGGGGCAGAGAGGGCGGCAGGGGGAGGGGCTCGCAGGCAGCAGCGGTCGGGAGACTTCACGATGACCATCGTGTCCCGGCGGAGTATGAGCACCAATGCATAGAGAGCTGATTAAAAATAAAAAAGTCTTAATCTCTGTCCTGCTCAAATTGGCGTTGAGACATGGGTGCTCATATTCTATTTACAGCTTTTGAGCCAGTGGTGGAAATTCCACAAACCTATCCAGATGACAACCACTGTTGTCTTCCCCACAAAGTGGTAGCTATTTTATTGACCTAGGAGGGATGATGGGTTGAATCGACCCCCAACAAGGATTTGAACTCACAACCTTCTGATTGCGGAGCAAACCCGCTCTGGAGTTGAGCCATCTGGTCAGTTGGAGAAGCGTGTGCTTGAAATTATACCGAGAGAAAAAAGAGAGGAACGTGTGGATTCAAAAACACACGTGGGTCGGAGTCATCGTATGAACTGGTAGGAAAAGTAATTGGCCACGGGCAGCACACGTCACCAGACGGCGGTGAACCCCAACCGGGCGAGTGTTGTCGCTTTGCCCCAGTGCGGCAGAGCCACTGCCCGATGCGTCTGCCCCTGGAGGGCCCCCCGCTGCTCAAGCGCAAGCTCGTGGACTCCTACGTGTACGTGGACCGCAAGCGCCCACTGCTGCCCAAGAAGCCCAAGCCGCCGCCGCCCATCAAAGCCAAGCAGATCAAGCTGGCCGGCCTGCGGGGTGCGTGGGCGGTTTTTGCCGCACGCACACAAATCACGCGCACGCACGTACGCGCACACATGATATGCGGGGATGGAGATCCCCTGTGGAGCCGTGCACGGCCGCTGGGTTGATGAGTTGTTAAGGACGAGCGTGGTGCACGACGGGGTGGCGTGACCAGCGTCGCCACATCGGGAACTTGTTTAGGGCCGTGTCGACCTATGGGAGGCCCACAACCCGTGCAGATAACACTTTGATGCTGGTCGTGGTTGGGAAGTGAACTCAGGCTGCCGGGTTCCTAGCGCGATATGAATACTCACAGACAACTGTACAAAGACAAAGATACCCTTTATAGCCTTAGCAGACTGTTTGGGCAAGTGTTTTTAGCGAACACCTATGAAGGCTGCAACTGCACACGAGGGGTCGATGGCCAGCACCATGCCCGGGCGCCTTTATCTCCCCAGTGACGATGTGCACACACCACACCAGGTACTCATTTGAGGCTGAGTCGACCTAGAAGATGCTGGTCTCGAACTTGGGTCGCCGGGATTCTTAGCGCAGCTCACTAACCACGACGCTACCGACTGTACACATGCATATGCTGTGCACACTCACCGACAAAGGCATGTACGCAGGTGAGCAGCGAGTTCTGAATAAGCACAACTATCGCAGGTGAAGTTTCCCATCGGTGCAGAGGCCCCACCGCGTAGAACAGCTCAGCAGCTTCCAGCCTCGTGCCCGCTCGTTCCGCCCTGGGTAACGCGCCCTCCCTCCCATCTCGTTGCAGACCAACACATTTACGAAGTCCGGCGGAAAAACAGAAACATCGAAGGTAAAGCAGAGTGGAGCTTCGCGCCTCTCCGCCTCTGCCACTCCAGTGCGATGGGCGTGTGACAGCCACGCGGTCGGGAAGTTGTGATTATTAGTAATCGACGGGTATCACGCGCGCCTGGTTTTAAGAAAAGGACTTCGACCGACCGCTCCGTTGCGATCCCGGTGCCAAAGCCACTCGACTGCGCGCGATATTTTTCAACTCCGTTGTGACTTGTACCCTTTAAGAAGACCGATGTGCGATGGGACTGTGTTCGGCGTCCGTAACCATGACTCTGCGTCGTTGCCAGATGTGTGCATCGCGTGCGGCAGCCTTGACGTGATCACCCACCATCCGCTGTTTGAGGGCGGAATGTGCCAGCCGTGCAAGGTGAGACCGCGCGCACTTCGAGCCGAGCGGCATCGTCGCGCGCCTCGCGATCACCGCGCCGGATTTGTTCTTGCTCCCATTTCTGTTTGTTTCCATCGCTGTGCTTTTTTCTTTCGTGCTTTGACTTTGTCATTGTGGTGACCCCCCGCGTATCTCACTCGTGCACACAAGCCTCTGTCCTGGTCTCTCTAGATCTCACCAGGTTCGACAAAAATAAACTTGAAGACGTGGTGCGTCCGACAGTAGCCTCGCATCTTCTTGGTTCTTTTGGTAAAGTCACGTAGAATGGAAATAATAAAATAATAATAATAAAACATATTAAAATAATTATCACGACGTATCGGCCACAACGCAAGCAGACAGGCCTCGCAATTGTGCTTTTGGCGTATCGTACACATTTGTTGTGATATTTGTAAAGCTGTGTTGCTTTTACTTGTACGGTGTGTAGACAATGTGCTGGTGTACCACACTGGTGTACAATTATTTTGGTTAAACAAAAGACTCAACACGTTCGTCAATACCACGATGGCTTTAAAACAAACAAAGACATTATTGACGACGTTTCAGGCAATGGTCTTTCTTCACCGCGCAAAAGCAAATAAATAAACCAGAGTTGAGGTCAAACGGGCCGTGACCCCAGCTGGCTAGAGAGACCCTTGCTTTGGGCAGTCATCCGGGGCGTGTTGAACGAGCGACTCGGTGACTCGGAGACGGCCAACCGCGCTGCTGCGGCGAGACAATCAAACTCGTCGCTCCGTACGCGGCACCGCCAGTGCGGCCGGCAACGGCGGGGGCAGAGGGCGGGGAAAAACGTCGTTCGCAAAAATGTATCCGGTGGTGATCGCCCCCCGCGCACTCTCTCCCTTCGTTTTTCCACAGAGCACCTTCATGGAGTGTGCCTTTCAATACGACGACGACGGCTACCAAGCCTACTGCTCCGTCTGCTACGGCGGCGGCGAGGTGCTCATGTGTGGCAACAGCAATTGTTGCAGGTGGGGGTCGTCGATGGCACCCGCCATGCTTCCGCGTCGCTTCGCCCGCCGTGTTCCGTCGGCACCGGGACACGGGCGATCGTTTGGGGAAGCTGCCCCCACTGAGGCGCCCTCGGAGATGAGGCTTGCGAGAAACTGATACCCCTGCGCCCCTCCCCCTCACCGCCTCCACTTCTATGTATGTTGAACTTCTTTCGCACCGTACATAGCCAACCGTGCTCATTGTAGGTGTGGGGGAAGGACAATAAACTCAGCACGAAAAGCAGTTCTCAAGAAATTAGTTTTCAATCTTCTATGGCCCAATGAGTACTGTCCTAACACAAAACTGGCGCGACACGCAGGGGTAATATTGAGCATTAGGGGTGCAATGGTTTGTTGCGATTTAGAGTTATAATTTGACTTGACAATTGGCATTTTTATTTACATCGCAGTGACTACAGTGGCCTCTAGTGGCTGGAGTGAGTACCTGCTTGTGGTGTGCAAACTTCGCTACTAGGTAGACAAAGGCGGCCGGGCACGGTGCTGGCCACCCCACCCCCTCGTGTAGCGTGCCGGCCTTCACGGGTGCCACTCGCTAACAGCACTTGCCCCAACAGTCTATTAAAGGCTCTACGGGTGGACCTTTGTCTTTGTGTGCGCGGTGTCGCACGGCGCAGGTGCTTCTGTGTGGAGTGCGTGGAGATGCTGGTGAGCGTGGGGGCGGCCAAGTCGGCCATCGCCGAGGAGCCGTGGAGCTGCTTCATGTGCCGGCCCAAGGGGGCGCACGGCATGCTCAGGCGCCGCGACGACTGGGCCAGCAAGCTGCAGAACCTCTTTACCAACGCGCACAGCCAGGAATACGTCAGTGGCAGCGCAAACGCACGTGAACACACGCGATCGCGCACGCGCTCTCACGCACACTCGCACACGCGCACGCCCCAGCGTAGCATCGCGCGTGTCCGTGGGAGACGGACACGAGGCCGAGCGGTCTCGTGCTTGCATTGAGCGCGGAGCGACAACCCTGAGTCGGCGGCGGAGATTATTGTTTTCACGAGACAAACGCGGTTCAGTTGCGCGCAAAGTGGTACTCGTTCTTTATTGGACGTGCAGGGATGGTGGGCCGAGAGTCGTCCCACTCCGACCCGGCGTTGAACTGAGCGTCCCCTTCCGATTGGAGGCTGTGACACACTCGGCCACATTCCAGTGAACACGCCAAAATTGGACCACCGTTGGCGCGTGGTTGACACTGTTGGGAAAAAAACGCCGACCCCGACGTTTATGCTTTACCGGGATGCGTGTGCATGCAGACACCGGGTACAACGCAGGCTTAACGGTGTGCTCACGTTCTGCCACCCCGTGGCCACGTGGGCAACCACGGTCCAGAAGGAATGCGTTTCACTCGCGATGAGTCACAATGATTCCCTCATCATGGAAGCAAGACCCCGCAGATGAAATGTTTCAATTAAAAAATATTGGTGATGCAATTTTCATTTCTCAAATAAAGATTAAATGAGATACACCTTCGTCATTGTTTCAATAAGTTCTGTTTGTGTTCTTCTGAGCCACATTCAGTAACTAATTGTTACACTTTACAGCCCTTTGTCAATCCACTGCTGGATGAAGGCATCCCCATGCCTTGTTTGTCGTGGGGGTTGTTAGACCATGATTCACGACATTGACAGTGTGGGTTTGTGAAAGCAGAGGTCACAGACTTGTTTAGATATCGCTCACCATGGCTGGGAATTGAACTTGAGCTCTAAGCGCACTGCACTAATCAATGCACCGCCATGCCCCTGAATATATAAGTGTTTATATGACATTAATGTGTGACGTTTTACATGATTTTTTGTTATTTCGTATCAATTTCAAATTGTCTTGATTTCACAATGATCTTATTTCGTGTGCTGTATGTTGGCATAGATCTTGTGTAAATGACCAATATGTATCCAAAAATATTTTTTATTAAATGTAAATTGCAAAAAATATATGTTGGGTTTTTTTGGAATAAACATTCTAACCCGAATTGCAAAATGAGAGGCACCTGAAAGAGCTCATGTCAGAGAGGGGCATGGTCCGCGCGTGCGGCACATGTCGCATGCTCGCTGCTGTGGACACCTCTGCCGAGGTCCGCGTGATGCGCAGAGAGTTTGTAAATGTCCGTGCACAGCACGCTTCGAAGAGCCACCAAACGTCCTGGTTTGGCAGGGCCAGTGCCAGTGGTTTTGGAAAGGCTATCCCGGTATTTAAATCTAACGCCCTCATGACGCGGGCAAAGGGCAGGGCTGCCGGAGTAGTGGGCGGGGTTACCTGGGTAGTGGGCGGGGTTACCTGGGTAGTGGGCGGGGTTACCTGGGTAGTGGGCGGGGTTACCTGGGTAGTGGGCGGGGTTACCTGGGTAGTGTGCGGGTTACCTGGGTAGTGGGCGGGGTTACCTGGGTAGTGGGCGGGGTTACCTGGGTAGTGGGCGGGGTTACCTGGGTAGTGGGCGGGGTTACCTGGGTAGTGTGCGGGTTACCTGGGTAGTGGGCGGGGTTACCTGCGTAGTGGGCGGGGTTACCTGGGTAGTGGGCGGGGTTACCTGGGTAGTGTGCGGGTTACCTGGGTAGTGGGCGGGGTTACCTGGGTAGTGTGCGGGTTACCTGGGTAGTGGGCGGGGTTACCTGGGTAGTGGGCGGGGTTACCTGGGTAGTGGGCGGGGTTACCTGGGTAGTGGGCGGGGTTACCTGGGTAGTGGGCGGGGTTACCTGGGTAGAGGGCGGGGTTACCTGGGTAGTGGGCGGGGTTACCTGGGTAGTGGGCGGGGTTACCTGGGTAGTGGGCGGGGTTACCTGGGTAGAGGGCGGGGTTACCTGGGTAGTGGGCGGGGTTACCTGGGTAGTGGGCGGGGTTACCTGGGTAGTGGGCGGGGTTACCTGGGTAGAGGGCGGGGTTACCTGGGTAGTGGGCGGGGTTACCTGGGTAGTGGGCGGGGTTACCTGGGTAGTGGGCGGGGTTACCTGGGTAGTGTGCGGGTTACCTGGGTAGTGGGCGCAGAAGAGTCGCTGGAGCCAACGTGAGCTTGAGCGAGGAGGAGGAGGCCGCTCACTGCATGGGCGAGGCTAGTGGCTGAGTGGGTGTGGCTCGCCTTGTGTTCTGGATGAGCCTGCCAGGAACGTGGTAGCTTTATGCAGTTCGTGCTGTTCGCCACTGGGTGGCATGCTCACCGTACGCTTGTTGTTGGGTTTTGCAGCCCATCCCAAAGATATACCCGCCAATCCTCGCCTCCCAGCGCAAGGCCATCCGCGTCCTCTCCCTGTTCGACGGAATCGCTACAGGTGCTTTGGCTTTATTGCTCCGTGTGTGTATCCGTGTGTGTTGTTTGTGTTCATATGCCTGCCCTGCGCTACGAAACACGACCAACACCAGTTACGATTATCTGAACTGGTTCTGGGCCACCCCTAGGTCGACTCAGCCTCAAATGAGTACCTGGTGTGGTGTGTAAACATTGCCACTGGGGAGACAAAGGTGGCCGGGCGTGGTGCTGGCCACCCCACCCCCTCGTGTGCGGTGCCAGCCTTTATAGATGCTCGCTAACTGCACTTGCCCCAACAGTCCGTTAAGCTTATACGGGGGGTCTTTGTCTTTATGCCCTGTGCAGTCTCCAGATGCTTGCCGAGCAGAGGTCCACAGGCCCATAATGCCAAGCGACCAGCAACAAGCAGTGCCCTTAGATAAGAGCAACTTGGGAAAACAGACTGTGGGCAAGGAAGAGTATTGACGTGCCGTGTGGGTGGCTGGGGGCACAGTAGAAATGAGACAAATCAAACCATCTGCTTAACATCAGAGGAGGAATCAATGAGTGAAGTACTATTTGACGCGATCATCAACCATGATCAATCCACTGGTGGATGAAGGCCTCCCCAAGCCATTGCCACATATTATGACCTCGAAATGCAAAAATCTGCTTCACACCTGTGCATCAGCCGCGCAATTAGCTGATGTATTCAATGCCATATGAATGGCAATTATCATTAAAATAGTAGCTGAAAACATTTTCCGCATCTTTTGCAAAATATGTCTGACAACCATAAAATACTAAGTGTTTACGCAAAGCAATTAGAAATCATTACCTCCAAATTATACCGTGCACGGGAAAGTTTAGCGTCAACTTATTTGTTAAACATGTTATATTTAATATATATGTTTGTGCATACCTCCGATGGTAATCAATTGCTTTACATTACAGTTTTAATTGCCCCCTTTTTCCTAATTCATTAACCGGCCCAGCTTTGCTCATTCCTCAGTTTCTATGATTTCACCGTTGCAATTGAGCGAGTGTGCGGCGGACGAACGAGCGAGCGTACACACGTACCACGGTTGTACTTCCGTGTTTAACTAGGGCGCCATGGTAGCGAGATGTTAACTACCTTGCCTGGTAAACAGGAGGTCCTGGGTTCGATCCCGATCCTGACGCCTGCTGTATATTTGGAGTTTGCATGTTCACTCTTCCCGTGGTCGTGTGGATTTTTCTCCGGTCCTCCGGTTTTTCCATCCGCATTTCGAGTATTTGGCTGCTATACATTCCACGTGATGATAAGCCACTTCGTTAAGCTATCATTTGTGGCCAGGTCGCTTTTGAAAAAGAGCTTTATAGCTCAGTGGGCCTGATCTGGTCAAATCAAAAATAGTTTTTCATCGTTTTAACTACTCACTGTTTAACTACTCACTGTTTAACTACCCCCATCCACCCCCTGCTTTCTCTCCACCATGATATTAAATTTGGTTATTCACTTAATTTGACAAAAGTTCAAGCTCCATAAACTTCTCCGCATTGGGGCACGTGGGAAATTGTAGCTTCGCCAGTGTGAAGGGGTCTCGGAAGCAGTTCTGTGATATCATCTTCCACGGTCCATTCTCTAACGTGGAGTAACGCACTCCTCTGCGACGGTTCCCAATGGATATGCCATCTCATGACATGACGCCGGTAGCACGCAAATAATAATTAATAGCTCTTAAGTCGATCCAATGCTGGACGAAGGCCTCCCAACCGTGGTCACGATAGCAGAATTGAGAGCTTCATTTTTAACTTTAGACCTCAGCTGCTGCCCGTACCATCACGCGCGTGTCCCCCGCTAGGTCTCCTGGTCCTCAAGGACCTGGGTATCAAGCTGGAGCGCTATGTGGCGTCCGAGATCTGCGAGGACTCAATCGTGGTGGGCACCGTGCGACACGAGGGCAAGATTACCTACGTGGGCGACATTCGCAACCTGACGCGCAAACACGTGAGTGGGCCTCGCGACACGGCGACACGACGGCGGCACGGTGCATGACCTGAGGCAGCCCGAGCGCCTTGTCGCCCGATTCTCTCAAGATCGCTAAACCGCGGTTGTCGTTTTTAGAAAGAGCTTGATTCCTGATGAATATTGTTCATGAATTTTTCATGCAGGAATTCAAGTTTGAAATAAATAGCTGTTTTACATGTTAAACGTGCGTGGTTTTCCCGCTTCGGAGCTGAAAGTAAGCCCGGAATATTGAAGTAGTTGATTGAATAATTCATTGTGTTCCTGATGGCGTGCGTGCCTTATTGTAAAGTTGCGGTGATTAGAAGACGGACGTTACTTTGCGTCAACTGCAGTTAATTAACTTTTAAGTCATCTTTATTTCTTATGGAAATACGGCAAAGAACAAAATCTATTTCAAATGCAAAATATAATTACACGGTTGTGGAAAACTGATATCGGGGTAACAGTGAAATCGTGAAAACGTATGTTATATCCTGAGACTGATTTCGCGGCAGTCCAACAAAATAATAATCTTTCCTTTCACCAGACAGGAAGGTGTGAAAAGGTATAACGCCTCTGTTACACAGAAACCATGGGTGCCCGTGTGAGCTAAGCGCCACCATTTCATTTTTGTAATCGCACCATTTCCATCGGGGAGTCATTGGCCTAGAACGCTTGACGTGGGCCCGGAGCAAGCAGTGAACCGGGGGCTGCCTGTGTCCCACGACTGTCCCCTCTCAGCTCACCTCTCCGCGTGCCGACGCCACGATGCACACGTGCGCACGATGGTTCACGATGTAGGACCGGGCGTCTTGGTGTCACGTGAGCAGTTCATGTGCACGCACCCGACAGCCAACGGCCGCCCAGCTGCCCACTTGCCCTCGCCTCCCGAGTCCCAAAGCCACGTAGCACCGCCGCCCTCTGCGCACGCCTGCGCTGTCCATGCCTAAGGCCGGCGCTGCCAGGGCCCCCAGCCGACCGCCAACGCTCGCCTCCTGTGTCGCCCTCCCCCCCCCCCCTTTTCAAAGCCCAGCGCCTGGGCCCCTTCAGCTTGTGGCCCCGGTGGAGTTAGCGCTGCCTGCGTGCTCGATAGCCACACAACGGGCGGGGGGGGGGAGTGGTACCATGGTGCTTAGGCCATTGCGTTCATTTCCCGGCCATGACTACCATCAATGATTTAGTGATATCTGAACCGGCCCCTTCATAAACCCGCAGTGACCAGTGTGGTGAAGTATGATAAAAAAAAACACCCATTGCCGACATTGAATGGGGAGGCCTTCATCCAGCAGTAATATGAGAAAGGACTGGAAAGTATTCTTTGTTAATTTCCGTATCTTATCGTTACGTTGTTTATGTATGACACCAGAATACGGTGACTTACACTTATTTTTAAAGCGACATTTTCTTCGACATCCCGTCTACAGGCGACGAATTCGCTCCATCCCACAATGCTAGCTGATGACATAACGCATGCTTACTGTGCCATACCAGGGCAAAATGCTAATGAAAGATTTCCATCTTTGTAAAATTTATAAGAACAATCATCTTTTGTTACTAGCCTTGCGAAGAACGAAAAAAACCCCCAAGTCATTACAAAGGCCTGCTATGTTTTGTACAGTGTTGAATTAAAACCATCCACACGATGCACCGCGACCATATTTCAAATCGCCCAACTTTTCCAACTCGCAGTGATTGCAGATTTGACAAATCCGTTGCGTAAACACTCTGTAATCCCCGCCGACGCTCGCCATGCGGGCTTAACCAAAGCCCGGCACGCCGCCGGCCACTACCGCCACCACCACCGCTACTTGCCACCCCCTGGGCACGGCCGCCGGGCCCGGGGGGGCGGCCGCCGGGCCCAGACACCACGGCGGGGCGCTCGGCTCGCAAGGTCCGGTGGCACAAACAGCTGAGCCCGGTGGGCTCTCTTCTCTCGCAGATCCTGGAGTGGGGGCCATTTGACCTGGTGATCGGAGGCAGCCCGTGCAACGACCTGTCCATCGTCAACCCTGCCAGGAAGGGTTTGTATGGTGGGCGTTCCAGCGCAAGTGCTAGTAGCTAGCACGCGTGCCCACGATTTCATTGTCTAGTTCATTTTCAAGCGTGAAAGCGGCGGTCAGTGAATGGGGGCAAAAAACAACTGTCATGTTTTTGGAAGTTTGGTAAAAGCATGCATAAATTAGCGTTTACGGGGGGGAGCTGTGTTTATTGTAAAGTGACAGAGAATGTACTTGTGTTTTTTTAAACAAAGGCACAAGATTAATTTAATTGCTTAATAATATTATTATCGCCATGTGTTAGTTTGGTCAGCAGACTGGGCCTCCCCTGTGAGAAGGGAGCCGTGGGAACGTTGATGTCAGCAGCGAGGCAGGCAGGGAGGTTTCTGGCCTCGTGCCCCGAGGTGTATCGTCATCAGGGTTCATCAGGGTTGAGTTGCAGGCGCGAGCAGAGACTCGTGACGGGCAGGCGGGCGGGCCAGGCAAGCGCTCTCTCGCTAACTCTTTAATAATGCACGTGCACAGCACCTTCCTGAAGTCGGCACCGCCGAAAGCCAACGCCATGAAAATCCTAAATTGGAATTGTTTCACAAACTTACATTCAACAATGCTAGATTTAATAATGTGCGCTTTACGCTTATATTTCATGTTGCGGTGCATTCTAGTTTATTTTTTAATACGAGATAACAATTTTAATATGTTTACAATTAATGCTTATCCTACTGCCTACCTTGCTCGTGATATAATGAATAGGGTTGTGATGAATCCCCTCTCATGTGTGAATCGTTGAATTCCCAGGATTCAAAGCCACGATGCAATTCAATAATCTTTTATTGTCCCCTTGTGGTAAAAGTAGCGGCCCCTAGTGGCAGCAGAGGTCACATGAGCCCATTAAATACAATGCTGACATGAATTACCTGATGCACGTATTGTAAACGTTCCCATCGCTCTGTCCCATCCCTGATCTCCACATTGCTGCTAATTAACTTCGTCTATATACAAATCCTTTCTGATTGGAAGATAAACGCTCAGCCATGCAATTAATAGCTCAACCTCCTGCTGGTGGTGAACTGCACTAGAGGGAACTCTAGAGAGCCTGTCTAGAGGCTATATTGGCCTACTCTTCCATGCTGTCCACGTTGCCTGCCGGTCGATTAACTGTGGCGTGCCCTGCTGCTGCTGGGTGGACAGCAGCACGGGGGGGGGGGGGGCGGGGGTCGGATTAAAATAAAAACTTCCATCCTTGTTTAAACTGCCGTGCCGGGAGATCGAACCGGCATAGCGAAAAATGTAATTGTGAGTGGGTAGCTAAGTAGCGGTGTGAACGTAGCAGATTGCGCTGCACGCGGGATGTCGTGCACGTTCAGCGATAGGGATTAATTTGTATGAACAACAGAAGCCGAACCTGCGTCGCGTATCGGTCTGCGCCAGCAATGGACATCAGCGGCCCCTAGGGCAGGTTAAGCCAGGTCGGCGGCTGGGTGTTGGGCACTCCGCAAGATCCCAAGTCGCTACGTTTTCCTCGTCTCGGTGGGCTGCCCGTCGAGCTGGCCGCGCGTGCGCGCCGACGCGGACGCGCGTGCTCGCGTTGCATGTGCGTGTGCGTTGCGTGTGCGCCGCGTGTGCCTGTGCGTGTGTGCACTCGCGTGCAGAAGGCACGGGGCGACTGTTCTTCGAGTTTTACCGCCTTCTGCACGAGGCCAAGCCCAAGGAGGGGGAGGAGCGTCCCTTCTTCTGGCTCTTTGAGAACGTGGCCGCCATGGGCGTCAACGATAAGCGTGACATCTCGCGTTTCCTGGAGGTACGGAACGGGGACATTGAATGGTTAATGTGGAGGGAGGGAGGGAGGTGTCTGTGCGGGTTCAGAGGTCAGAGCGCGGAGCCGAAACGCCCCAGAATCCTGGGTTTGAAGCCAGGCTGCCACCTGTGATTATTACAGATATTCAAAGCAGAGTGAGTTTATGCTCTAATGGCTTCACCACAACAAACCCATTTAGCACCTTGAGAACCATTTTAAGGGCGCTTTTTAAATTTACATTATTATAATGAGTATATTTAGTTTGGATCTATGCCTACATTGCATACATTCCAGCTTTGAGAATTAAAAATGTTGCGTTTTGACTGTCATACAACAAACATTGCTCTCTGTAGCAGAACAATTTCAGCGTAACTCTTAAATGTCAGTGGAATTGTCTTTATTAGCTTAAGACTCGCATACAAATGGCAAAATGTGGAATAACGTAACGATATTAAAAATGCTAAATATTGCATAATAATGTCCACTTGCTCCTTGTTCCTTCCGTTGCAGTGTAACCCTGTGATGATTGATGCCAAGGATGTGTCGGCAGCTCACCGCGCCCGCTATTTTTGGGGGAACCTGCCGGGCATGAACAGGTCAGCGGTCGTGTTGTGACGCCCAGTGAACATGAAACGTTGGGCCAACGGTCCCTGCCACGTGCCAAGAGTTGGCCCAGCATTGCGTGTGTGCTGGGTACTCTCCCTGCATGAGTTTGCCTCAGAGACTCCCGCTTGTCTGTGTAGATAAATATAGACTTGGCAGATCAGCGTGGTTATAAGAGATTGGTGGACAGCCCACTCAGATTCAGTGGTCAAGCTGACATTATTATTATTATTTATTCCACGGAGAATGAATGAGTTTAATTTGATGTATTTTGATTAATTGAAATTCCACGATAAAACGATAACATTTGTGTTGCAGTAACACAAGCGTACATTGTCCAGCACAATAATGAATCATCGTAGGTTGGAGAGGCTCATAATAATATTAATATTGAGTTGAGTTTTTAGACTCCCTCATTTGTGCTACTGCATCATACAATGCTGAGCAATCCGCAAATACGGAAGCACATAGATTAAGATGTTTTAATCCAAGATTAGTGCTTAAACAAATGTAACAGTATTCTTTGGTTCTTTCGGTAAAGTCACGTAGATGGAAAAATAATAAAATAAAAATAATAAAACATTTAAAATGCATTAAAACCACAACCTCCATCTACGTGACTTTACCGAAAAAGACAAAGAATTTGAATTCCTGCAGTCACGAAAGTTTTAAGTCAAAATTTCAATGAAACAGTTTCAAAAGATATACACAGAAATGTATGCCTTTCAAGTGCATAATCTTTTTACTTAGCTTCTATAGCACTTGGTTGTTGGTAGAGCTGATAAGCAGCTCCAGGGCCAATAAGCCCAGTTATCAAGATAAAGATAATTTTAATAAAAATGTCAATCTCGACTGCGTAGAATGTATTTAGTAAAGCTTTAAAATGATAACCGATTCGCTCAAAATGGTGCAGCGGTTTAAAAGAAGTTTCGACAAACGCCGCTTGATATTAGCCGTGATCTTATAGGTGGTTATTTTCAGCCAAAATAATTGATGTCTTCACTTAAATAAATACTTGTGGGGGGAAACTGCTGTCGTGTCAACAAGATGCTTTCCTGCAAGATGCTTTCCACGAATGGCTGGTATAATTCAACCGTTATTATCCGTGTTATACACGTGTATAACACGTATAACACGTGTATAACACGTGTTATACACGTGTTATACACGTGTTATACACGTGTTGCAGTAGGTGAAGTAACGACCACAAGATGCATTGCACACGCAGCCGCGCTGCATCGCCCAGACCTCCGGGTCGGAGCTGCAGCAGCACTGAAGCACCACCGCTCAACACGGCCGACCGAGACACAAAGACAACCACTGCATCCCCCAAATAAATTAGGATCACGTTGAACGTGTCAGAACTGTCAATGCATTTGCTTGAAGCCGTGCGTGTTTATGTTGGGGGCGCCATGGTGGCGAGATGTTAACTCACTCGCCTGGTATGCCGGAGGTCGTGGATCTATTCTGACCCTGACGCCTGTCTATTTGAAGTTTGCATGTTCTCCCTGTGGTGGCGTTGATTTTTCTCCTGGTCCTCCGGTTTTTCCCTCCACGTTTAGAAATGTGTGCTTCGAGTATTTGGTTGTTATAAATTTCCACATGATCAGCCACTTCGTTGAGTTATCATGGGTGGTCAGGTCGCTTCTGAAAAAAGCTGTATGGTTCAGTGGGCCTTACCTGGTGAAATAAAAGTAGTATCGTATAGTGTTGTTGTGCACGTTTTTAAATTTCTTACATTCCAGTGGAGAGTGGTAGTGCAGTGGTTAGCGCGCTGCGCTACAAACCCGTCGACCTGGGTTCGATTCGCGCTGATGGTCAACACCAGTGACGATTATCTGAATCAGTCCTGGGCCTCCCCTAGGTCGAGTCAGCCTCAAATGAATACTTCGTGCGGTGTGTAAACATCGCCACTAGGGACACAAAGGTGGCCAGGCGAGGTGCTGGCCACCTATCTCCTTGTGTGCCATGCCGGTCTTCATAGGTGCTCGCAAACAGCACTAGCCCCCAACAGTCTGTTAAGGCTATACGGGGGGTCTTTGTCTTACGTGTGTTTTAAAGGCCACTGGGATCGGACCTGTCTGAGCTGCAAGACTGCTTGGAGCACGGGCGAACTGCCAAGGTACTGCGCTGAGAGAGGCCTCGCTTTCTCCTCATCTTCCTCCCCCACCTGGACAAGAAAATCCTCTCGTTTTTTTATTTTCGCATTCGTTGATATTCATTCACACTGTCGGTGAACACTTTAAATGTGCTTAAAAATATAACGGCACAAGGTGCATTTGAATCGTGGCATCAGGGGTTTGCAAGCTCTTACTAATCACGTGCCTTTGAATGCCCAATTGGCCTCAAGATCCACTGACATAAGGTCAAATGTCTTCATGGAATCTTGATAATTACCCGTGCTCTTTGCTTGATAAGGTTGCCAGCACATTCGGTGGCTTATCCTCTCAATGATGAATTTCAAGCCAGGTAATTGGTGCTGCCCAATTAAAAAACATCTTTCTCTCGCGATTTGAGTGGGAAAGTAGTTTGTTCATGTACTGTGTATTCTATCAGTCATAGTAAACAGGTGTTTTCGTTGAAAATATGATAGCACAAAATTGATGGGTCATTAAAACTGACTGAACAGCCGGAAAATACCTCTTCTCAAATTCGATTTTTTTTTATCTGTCAACTCTTACAGCAACTTGCTTGCCTTTGGCATGGTATGTAGATCCAGGTACATGGCATTTACATAATGAGTACCCAAAATTGCTTGTGGACCCATCAAAAGAACTTTCACAAAAAAATTATTCCTCGTTAATATGACAAATCGTTGCTTTATAATATGGGAAGCAAAGCTTGCTTTTTAGGTATTTTCAAAGGGTTTTCAAAGTGCTGACATCTCCATCCTGTGACACCCGCTCTCTCCACCGCACAGTTCAGCAAAGTGCAGACCATCACCACAAAGTCCAACTCCATCAAACAGGGCAAGGACCAGCTGCTGCCCGTCGTGATGAACGGAAAGGAAGACGTTCTCTGGAGCACAGAAATGGAGCGGTGAGTTTACTCTGCAAAGCCGATTCAAGCTAAACGCTAGGAAAGAGGATCCAGCTCTTCAATGACCTCATAACGTCAAGAGAAAGATAGTGAAAGCCACAGCTGTTTGGATCGCTAAAATACCAAAGAGGTTCAGCATGCTCAGATATTTTGTTTCGTGACTGGGTACAAAAAGAGGTTATTGGTTTGCGCCACAAACAGCCGTTGTTATTTCTTTCCCTCTGTGTCACCTTTAGCTCCTGTTGCTTATGTTTGGTTTAGTTGACCTTAGGTGAGGTACAGAGCTTGACTTAGAATTTGAGTACACGAGGCCAAACGTAATTTTTTTTATGAATAATGAGCTCAGGCTAGCGTCTAAAACAAATATTCCCATCTCTATGGATGGTCTTCATTTGTACTTTTACCAACACGTTGTCTAAAACTTGTTTTTGGCCTGTAGCACTTCTCTGCTCTAACAAAAATACTGAAACCCCCACTCCCCCCCTTCTTAAAACTGCCTAGACAAGCATGTTTTCCCCCAATTTGTCCAGCATCTTGAGATGCAGTCCCATGTAAATGCTTCGCAAATACAGATTCTACTGTGGTGTCGCATTAAAACTAAACTTTTTTAATAGAAATTTTTATTTTACCAGGTAAGACCCATGAAGCTATATGGCTCTTTTTCAGAAGCAACCTGGCCACAAATAATATCCCAGTGAAGTGGCTTATCATGTGTGTATATATATATAACAGCCTAATACTCTGAACGCGTGATGTTGATTCTAAATGTGGAGGGAAAAACCGAAGGATCCAGAGAAAAATCCACGCGACCACAGGGAGAACATGCAAACGCCAAATATACAGGCATTGTCAGGGTTGGGATCGAACCCACGGCCTCCTGCATACCAGGCAAGGTATAAACATCTCGCCACCGCATATTGTTTCATGCTCCTTGTCCGCTCTTGCTGGGTGTGTTCTGTAGGATATTCGGCTTTCCAGTGCACTATACGGATGTCTCGAACATGAGCCGGCTCGCCCGTCAGCGACTGCTGGGCCGCTCGTGGAGTGTGCCGGTCATCCGCCACCTCTTCTCCCCGCTGAAGGACTACTTCTCCTGCGTTTAGGCCTCCGCCACGCCGCGCCAGGGCCGTCGCAAACACAATCGCGCAAAGACGCAGCACACGAGCCTGCACTAAGAAAACGCCTAAAAGAGGCATGCACGCTGCACCGGTAATGGCCAGTGGTATAGCGTTTAGGTGAAGAGGCAAAACTTAAGATAAAAAAAACTAAATTTTACTAAGTACAGTACTATCATGATGAGGCCGGCCTACGCAAAGCTAGGCCACCTTTGCTTGGGATTGCGTGCAAGTCTGCGTGAATGATGCCGCAGTTATATCAATTGTTTTACATTGTTCTTATTTGAGCTACAAGGTAAAGATGTTTTTCATCGCTAGGCCAAGGTCCGAATGAATTTCGACCAGGCCTATGCTGTCAAGTACTGCATAGGAAGTTGCTGCTAGGCCTCTTCACAGGTGTCCTGAGGTGTTCCCGTGGAGGAATCCTGATTTCTCAAGGTGCAGCACATTTCCTCTTTTAAATGTGTTGTAATTTTAATAGCTTAGAAAGAATTTAATACAAAGTCTCTACAGTACAGGGGAGCCTATGTAATCTTACATTTTTTTTCTGCTGGATTTAAACTGAGTAACTGCTTCCTATGAAATAACAGGTCTGTTTTAAGAAACAAAACAAACGTTTTTATTTTTTAATCATTTTTTTAAACCGCTTATTTAATCGTGTGAATACAATTTTAAGTCGAATGAATTTATAATGAAAATATGAAGAAGTTGGTTTATTTGGCAAGAAATGTAAGGTTTAAACATAGATCCACTGTACCTCTATCGAGTACCAGCTGTTGACACCACTGTCCGAACCCTTCTTGCCATCGGCAGTGTTGTCACGTATTATTACTTTACGTGTTCATTTCAAAGGGTTTTTTTTTCTTCTTCTTCTACTTCTTTGTAATTCAGCGTTGTTGTTGTGTTGTTCGCGTCCGTTACTCGAGGGTCTGTTCGCTTCGTCTGCCCCAGTAAACCCAGACATTTCCCTGTGCAGCTTCCAGAGACCTCGAGCAACTACCCGTAGACAATCTCCTCGCTCGGCTGGGCCACAGTGGAGCAAGCACCGCAGCAAAGCAACGTCCAGAGACATGCGCAAACAAACGCAACCTGATTGGCATTCTGTGTAAATTACCTGTCGCGTTTACCTGCAGTGTTGGGGTGTTTCTGGCCAGCCGGGATAAAGCCCATGTCTCACCTCAGATTGTAAATGAATCCTAACTCTTGAAATGCTTGTGGGCATTTCACCTGCATGGGACCTATTGTGACATTTAAATCAAATTGCATGAACGTGGGCTTAAGAATCATAGTTTTCAAAAGTTATGGACATACACGAATTGTATTTTACATAGGCACACCCGTAAAACGTAATGGTAAAATGATTTATTTTAATCCACAGTCGTTTTTAAACTTGCTTCAAGAGAGTTTTGGTGTTTGGCATCGTTACGTCCATATGAACCCAATGCAGCAAAAATCAATTGTTGTACTCTAATTCTATGCTCCGTGCCTTCACTAACCTGCACTGAACAGCGCGGTGAAGTATAGTCGGAACAACCTCCACGACTCAGACGACGAGGGGAGGCCCTTATCCAGCAGTAGATTAACAAAGTAGATGAATAAAATCCGCACCTCCGATTAGCACCGTTGGCTACGTATGGTGCGAATGAAGTTCATCATGCATATATACAAAGGGCTGTACACCTACATGTCCACAGATTCTGCCAACAACGACCCCTGCCTCCGAAACTCGGGCGTCGTGAGTTTCACACTTGAGCAGCCAAAGCAAAGGCTCTTCCTGAAGAATGCGACCGGGTGGAGGGGATTGTCCTGGGCAATTTAAGGCAGCTTTGGGCTCATTGTTGGCTGCGGGGCGAACAGACCACGCGTATGTCTTCTCATTGGCTAGCGGCAGTGCAATTTTCCACACTTTAATGCCTGTTGTTGAAAAAAAAAACGAAAAAGAAAAAAGTTAAAAAAAGGTGAAACTAATACAAAGTTGAGGACTCCAAAACCATCTGAGCCTTACTGTGGGTGAAGTTGAGCCTGTATTGACACAGCTGACTTTCAGGTGGTTTTACACAGTATTTCAGGTACAAAATGCAGAGGACGTTATAATACACTCACCACATATGGGGGGGCTGGATTTAGAGAGGTTTTGATGCTTTTGTGGAAGAACATGCTGGGGGGAAAACATCCAAATTGGCAATCAGCCTTTGGGTTTGTTTTTTTTGTCAGTGTTGTGATTTTTGTTGTCTATTTTTTGTACACTAACACGGGGGGGATTTTTTTCACTCTCCAGAGGAAAAGGAAAAAAACCCACCCCCCCCCCCCCACCCGACATTCATAGAGCGTCACTTTACCGCATCTCCAACGCACGGCCAATAATGAGGTGATGAACTTCGAAACGATGCTAGAAACCTTGTGCAAAACGGGCAATGTGCCGTAATTTTTCGCCCACGTGTCTGTGGAAACTACGTCTACGAGACGCAAAAAAACGAATTGATACATTTCCTCGCGGATTAGTGTTTTTTTGTGAAGGGCGCAAGCTAAAATACAGATTTTTGGATATTAGTTGGTAAAGGAAAGGCGGTAGATACAAAAAACGAGTTTGTTTTCCCTATATCTCAATACCTTGTTTGAGTTACAGGTATTATTTGCCGGTCTTAAATTAATGCGATTTTTGATGAGCTTATTCTTCAACGATCAATGTAAAAGTATAACCCCGATCCGCACAAAGGTCCACGAGCAGATCAATGAATTTTTAATAAATACAAAAAAAAACTTCGAGAAATTGCACGCTCAGATATTTATTGTCCTGAAACATATTTAAAAAGTATTGCACAAATAAAAATTTACACAATTTCGTTGTTTTAACTTATCACCTAAAACAGATTTTGTGCGATTATTTTGATATTTATAAATATGCTGAAGTGCTTTTCAAGACATAAAAATAGCAAACTTTTACTATCTTCTATGCAAAAATCTAACTAAAGTGATATGACAGTTGTTTCAAACTGTATTGATGTGGCACATTTTAAAATTGTTTAATAGGATTAACGTGAAGTCTGAGGGTAACCTTCACAAACATAAGCTTTTACTTACCTATAAAATATCCTGAATACACTTGAATTCTACTTTTTAGCTGTAGGAAGGTAAAACCTATCTTGAGCGAGTTTCTTTCTTGGTAGCATGCAAACAGAATACTGCCGCTCACCACCGCACCTTCTTTGCACGTGCAAGGATTTGTATGGACCCAAGCAGTTTGGTCTTAACAAAAAAAAATGCAAAAATAATGCAAACAATCAAAACTCACCACACTGGGTAAGTCAATGGGTGATATTATCTAAATATCGGCTAAAGTATTTGAGATAACATAAACCTACTCGCCTGTCCGATGTAAATCTAGTATAATTACCCAGTGTGTATCCCAACTGGCACATTCATAACCGTGCCATGTAACTCTCCATGTACAAAAAATAGGCATCTGTGAGCATTTTTTTTGGGACTTTATTTTCTATGTGTTGCTATAGCAGTAAAAGGAGGATACGTTTAATCGGAACGAAGAGTTAATAGTAAATATATGTTATAAAATATGATAAACGTGTAATTTATTGCCGGTCACAAAAAGGTGGCTTGGGTTTTTTTTTTGTTTCATTAATTTTTATAGTGTAACAATATAACTGCAACCAATGAAGTTTGTTTTTTAATGCAGATATAATACTTTTGCACTGTGTCATTTGCCCCAATTATTGGCCAAAATTGAACCTTTGCCAGGCAGAAGTTAGAGCAAATGCATCGGGGATCTCTCTAAATCCAGTCCTAGCACAATATTAAATACCTCTGTGATGATTTATCTCTACAACCTTCAAATCTACTGTACATATATATTGAAAAGGTGCTCTCAACAAGGATGATTGAAAACATTAACTATGATATCGCTCCGGTTTTGTTTTGCTCACCTCACACGAGTGGTGATGTCGATTTAAGAGGAAAGAAATCACAAGGCGCACGAATAAAAGCGTCCCGATTCTGTTTTATTTTCTGGACGTTATTGGTATCTTTTCTACAAAGATGCAATAAATACGCTGTTTTCAGTATTTGCGGACAGTTGCACAACAGAGAGAGAGAGAGCGTGAAGTCGTTTTGATCGCGATAACTATATACTGTACTGTATGTCACCACTGAAGATGCCTTCCCTATGCCTTCAACTCTGCCTAGCTGAGGACACAGTATATCAGAACAGAACATCGCAGGCTGCTGCTCTCTGAGCTCACCGTAAAATGCCACTCCGGGCTGTGGCAAAATGTTTTTAGTCATCCTGACCGCTTGCGTGAAAACGCAGAAAAAAAGAGAAATAAACTGTCACAATAATAATATTCAATTACGTAATGATTACAACAGAGGGTTTTTTGTTATTTGGTGTCAACATCCACACGAGGCTGATGTTTCACACTCCGTCTGTTTTTTTGTTGTTGTTTTAAACCAGGGAGATGGTGCTTTACGTTTTGTCCTTTTTTTGTACGATACACAAAGCCTTCTGGGGCATTTGTCAAAAAAAAAGCACGAATCGCTCTCACGTGGCAGCTCGGTTCGACGTTTTTGGAGACGTGGTCACTCGTGGTGGGCTGCTCCAGACGGTGATTGCAGTGCCCCCTTTGTTACCCTTCTGTATCCGCACCCCTGCGCCTGTGTGCACAACACATGCACCACACCACGCGTTCGCACGCACGCACACACACGAGCACGCACGCAAAAACAAAAACCCCAAACGCAACACTGTAGGCATGCACATAATTGTCGTACGTGTGTATATGCCGACCTGCCAAAAGCGTTTGGACTACCATCTCAACAGCTATATCGGTCACAGTCTAAATACCTTCGGTAGGCAAGTATATACACATAGCGTCCTAAACACGGTGCTACTGAGTGCTAGGTCAATGTTCAGTGGTCTATGTTATTGCAAGAAACACATTTACTGTGGCTTGCAATGTGGTGCAAAACTGACAATCCTGGCGACCATAACATGAGTTTACTCAACAGAAGCAAACAGCAGAGCATGGTGTGACAGCGATCACAGACTCAATAACTGCACTCGTCTGTGGGCAAACAGCTAAAAAATGGTCTCCGCAAGTGGCACGTGAGGTCGGAGGTAACAGTTTGAGACAAACATTGGCACGCCAGCAACGACCTTCTTGGAGTCGCTCACTGAATGAGGTCAATATGTTCGGGTGCAGCAGTGACCATGTTTTCCAGCAAACTCGTGATTTTTTATACATCTTGGTGCTTTGCAACCTTCCTCTGCAATATGTGTTCCTCTTACTGTTAAACAGGAAACTTATGGGACAGACTCAGCCATGCCACACCCAGGGGCAGAGCCAACGTTTGGTGCTAAAACAATTTTTCTACAAAATAAAAAAATTGCTGTAATGTGTTTTATTTAATCTTTTTATTTAACAATACAATTTTCTTTTTTTCCCTTAAGCATTTTATTTTTTATTTTATATCTATATATATAAAAGAAGAAACTGTATTGTTATTTTTGTGTGGTTGTGAACCATGCAAATGCCGGTGCTTATACCTAGAAAGTAGCCTCATGTGTACTTGCACAGGGATGTCATGTGTATGCTCCCACGGATAGGCTTTACAGAATAAATCAAGTGCAGTGTGTTGTAGTGGTATATTGACATAGGAAGAGGTGCATTTGTTTGCATTTCTTGGTGCATTGAAAGTACAAGTTGATATTTAATTGTTTGAGAACATATGATGGGGAGCCCACAGGATGAATCGCCACATTTGTTTTAAAAGTATATCGATTAATAAATGCATTTATTTCTTCACGCAACATATATATGGGTGACGCCACGAAAGGTGTCAAACTCATTTTCATTAAGGTGAGTTGTTTTTTTTTCGTAAGCAAGTTTTAACGATTTTTATTTCAATGCACAACTTATAATATAATTTTGATGAATATTCTGTGATTGTGAAGGAGGTAAACTTGAAAGTTAGCAAAGTGTAATTTCTAGTTTGTAAAAACAGCAGTTTGTATGAGCAAGCTAGACAATGATACAACTCTATGGGTTTTCATTTTCGCCGAATGTCATTTCAACCTTTTGAAGACAGTGTCATCATAGTTTCCTTTTCAGTTACGAATTGTGGGCTCCCTGTGAATATCACGTAACCTGATGAACATTCCTCGTCCCACTCTATAAAACTGTACTGCATCCTACTCATAAAATCCCTTGCTTGGATGTAATCTACAGTACGTATTAGGATAAACAAAAAAATAAATCTCGAGTAGTGGTGCGTGTGGTGATCTGCGTTCCCCTGAAGGTTTCTTTGAGTGCTCCCTCGGTGTTTCGGTTGTGTTGTGCTCGCTTTGGTACCATTGCATCATGATATGGCACATGTATACATAATACATGCAACATAATACATGCATACATAATACATGCATACATATTACATGCATACATAACACATGCAGACATAATACTTGCATACATAATACATGCATACATAATACATGCATACATAATACATGCATACATAATACATGCATACATATACATGCATACATAATACATGCATACATAATACATGTATACATAATACATGCATACATGTACATGCATACACAATACATGCATACATAGTACATGCTTACATAATGCATGCATACATAATACATGCATACATAATACATGCATACATAATACATGCATACTAATACATGCATACATATATATGCATACATAATACATGTATACATAATACATGCATACATAATACATGCATACATATACATGCATACATAATACATGCATACATAATACATGCATACATAATACATGCATACCTGCATACATATATTTATGTGGTCAAGTTCCACAGTGAGCAGTTTCAAAGTGTCCCGATGTGCTACAGACTTGAATAAATGTACCGTTTTTTTGTGTTAACTTATCCACAAGTGTGGCTGCTTATTTGCTTTTGTTTTTTGCATTTTTTTCATACGCACTTAATAATGTAATAAACCATTTTTAATGCTCGTGCACTCGTGTCATGCGTTTCGATGCGTAATGGTCAATTGACCTCCAGATTTTGAAACTTTTGCTTCGTTCCCATTGCCATGATTAAATCTCTCGCTCGAGATGTCAATCAATCAAGTCTTTATTTTATGTGCAAATATCACCCTCATCGGTGCGCATTATAGCAGCACGGGAACGGTACAGGGGGACGTAGAGCAACAGGAATGAGGAAATAAACCCGTCACGACCTCGGATGTTTGTACGTATCTTGAACTTCTTTCACACCGTACGTAGCCAATCCGTGCTCATCGGAGGTGCGGGGTGGTTCTGTCTGGAGCCCGATGTTGGCAACAGCTTCCCTCATTTTGTGGAAATATTGGGGATAGTTGACCCCTCACCATCGAATAACAGACCACCGTTCTTCTCTGATCTGAGATTGATTGACCGCCGAGCTACCATTTCCAGCCGTTTGTTCTGTCAGAAGCAAAGAAACATCTTGTTTTTTATATCGTCTTAGATATCTCTCTCATGTGCTGTGGATACTCTTGATGCCAGTATCAAAATTATGAAATAAGAATAAGTGGCACCCTTTCTGGCAATAACACAAGAGGTGTTAAGGTTGACTTAAAGCTTTCGTGACTGCAGGCATTCATATTGTTTGGGTCTTTAGGTAAAGCCACGTAGATAGAAAAAATAATAAAAATATCACGTTTCGATTTTGAGAGAGAGACAAAACACAGACACGGAGACAGACACACAATACAACAAATTTAGTTCTACCTGATGACGACTGCCTGTGTTGCAATCGAAACGTCGTATTCTAGTATTTCATGTATTTTCTTTCTCCGTGACTTTACCGAAAGAACCAAGGTATTCGACTCTATGTCTGCGCATGGCAGCAATGTGACTCAGGAGCCCAATGCCAAGGTCGAGGCATGCTGCTCTCCACGACGAGATGGCTTCAGCAGTGAACACAGAAAGAGAGAGTTTCGTGTCGAATTCAAGGAGCGCAGACCACAGCGGGTTTGCTGTGTGGTCCGTGGTTTGGTTTAGAGACAGTAGCCTTCTCGTGGCCCACCAATTACAATATGCTAAATTCCTCTTGATATGCACATTATTTTTGTTAAGGCGCTCTTCCACCTCCAACCCAGCTTATATATAAGCTCCTAGCTTGGCAGTGTCTCATTCTTCACCTGAAGACGGCTGCTTGCGTTGTAGCCGAAACGTCGTGAGAATTATTTTA